GCACAGTATTTCTGGGTTAATGAATGACTTGAAATTGGGTAAATTTTATCTACTGCACATCACTCAAATCCTTTCACATGCTTCAGTTTCCACCACAATGTTTTTGTTGCAGGGTACGTACCATCAGTTCTTCCTAAACTTCTCTCACTTCTTCCCATCCCGTCTCCATGCATCTGTTCCCATCATTCATTTTCCAGAGAGCAGCTAGACTGTTGAAAAGCAAAACTGTATATACTACATTCCATTTTGAAATAGTTAAGTATCTTCCCTTAGAGTAAATAAAGTCCAAAATACCGAATCAGGCCTTCAGGGCTTTGGAGGATCTTACTCTGCTTCCCCCTTTCGTGGATCTCCCCGCTGGCTGCAGGTGTTTTGAGGTGCTTTCTGTCTCAGCATTACACTTTCCCCTGTGTCTTCTGTACATGTTGTTCCTTCACCCGGCAGGAACCCTATCATGACTGATCAATTATTAACACTCGACTAGCCAGTTAGCCAGTGTCACCAACCATTTAAGCCAAGAAAGAACATGTAACGCTACTTAACTGCAACAAATACATGCAAATAAAATAAGTGAGAAAATAGATGCCAGTCGTTTAAATTACCAAGAATGTATTTTGAAGAGGATTTTAAGAAGTGAAATAAGTGCTCGTGAAGCAGTCAAGATACTCATTTCCATAGAGATACTCTTTCCAAAAACAAGCCAATTTTGTGGCTTAATTTTTCTTCAGAATATTGTTTTATTTATTTTGAATGTATGAGTTTTTAGTGTCTTTCTCACTTTCTGTGGGATGGCTGGATTTTGAATTAGGTAATTTTGAAGCAGATCCCAGCCATCACACCATTTCACCTACAAACAAGTATTTAAAATATCTCTAAAAATTAATTCCTTTATTTTTTAAGCATAACTGCAATTCTATCATATCTGACATAAGTAAAATCAGTGTTCAGGTATCTCCTAAATTGTCTCATAAATGTTGACCAACTTGTTTGAATCAGGATCCAAATATGCCCCATGCATTATGAATCCCTGATAATTCTCTTAAATTTCTTTTATTCAATAAGTGCTCCCTTGGAGATATTTTGTTGAATGCCTGGCTATTGTCCTTGTCGAGTACCCACAGTCTGGCTTTGTAGGCTGCATTATATTCTCACCTAGAACCATTCCTTTTCCCTGTAAATTCTGTAGTTCGTTATTTCTAGTAAATAGATTGACTTTTTCCTCTTAATTTTATTACTAAAAGTATTAAACATACACAAAAGTAGAGACAAAAGTATGAAACTCCATGTACCCATCCCCCAGCTTCAGTAATTACTAAATCATGGCCCATGTTGTTTCATCCGGACTCCGACTCGCTGCAGATTATTTAGAAACAGATTCTAGGCATCAGATGTATATCTAATGACTTAAAAAAAAAAAGTCGCAGCAGCATAGCTACAACTAAAATTTTATCATTTCTTAATGTAAAGTCAAGTCACTGCTAAGATTACTGCAATTGTCTTATAACTGTTTTCCAGTTCATTTGAATTAGGAGTCAAAAGTTAATAAAATGTAACTGCTTGTTAGGTTATGAAGTTTAAAAATTGCGTGTTTTAAAATTAATCTTTTTTTAATTGTGCAAAAATATTTACATGACTAGGCTCAAATCTACAAAACAAGGTACTGTATACACAAAGACGTTCTACCTTTTGTTCATTAGTTTCCATTCTGAATCCTTTCTTGCCTTCAGAGATGATTTTTTTTTAATTTAAATTTAAATTGTATGGTTTCTCCTTCCACATGCTTGGTGCCGGTCACCCCTCCCCTCCGCCCGTACTCTGGACTTTTCTCCACCCTGGCACCTCTCCTGAGAGCTCACTCAGAACGGTCTTCCTCGTTGCTTTCCTTCCCTCCTCCTCCCACTTCCTGCCTTGGCCGACCGCGCGGGCCGCACCTGCAGGACGCGTTTCCATTGGTGACATCTTTGGCGGGCCCGTCGGTGGCACTTCCTCCTTTACACCCCGTGACCCACGTCCGGCTCGCCGCCCTCCCAGTCACGCGGCCTCTGCCTCCGGGACGCAGCCCCGCGCGCCGGCCTTCCGGACACCTGGGATGATGATTCCTCCAGATGAATCTCCAAAGGAGGTAAGGGCCTCTAATCTTTACCTTGAACAAGTGTCCAAGGTCATGCTTATAAATGGACACATTTGAAGGAAACCACAGCAAGAATTAGGTATATTCATTATAATCATCCAGAAAAAGTAGAAAAGAAAAAGAAATCTTTCAGGAAGTCCCCCCGACCCGACCCGACCCGACCCGGGAGCTCCGCCCCCAGCCCGGGGAGGCGACCGCCGACCTCGGGTCCCGCGAACTCTTCTTCGCCGCCCCTAGAAGCCCCTCTGACTCGGGAGCTCCGCCTCCCCCTTCCCCCCTCCGCCCCACCGCGGTTCCAGGAAGCCCGGCCGGAGAACTCTTCCCCACCTCGCCGCCAACACTTCCCGCCTCCCTCCCCGGTCTGAAACCTCTTCCTGCTCCAGTGAGTCCCCCTGCCCCGGGAGCTGCCCTCCACCTCCGGGCTCGGGGAGCCTTAGCCTCGTGACCTCCTTCCCCTCCCCCCAACTCGCGCAGCCCGGGAAGCCTCTTCCCTCCCCCCACCCGTAGCTCGCCCCGCCCCGGAAGCTCCCGCTGACCCCGCCCAGGCCCGGGGATGGGGCGCCCTGTTGTCGCGCGTTCCTGTAGGGCTTGGCCGACCCGAGACTGTCGGACCGCCCGGTGGAGGCCGAGCGAACCCCTTCACCTTGTCCCGGTGCCTCCGCCAGGAGCCTGGTGTACGGGACCCATACCGCGCTTCCCGCCGAAATCGCTCAGACGCGCCCCTGCCGGCCCGCGATTTTGAGAGCGCACTTTCAAGCCTCGTTTGAAGCGTTTCCCCACAGCCAGTTGAGTTTCAGTTTCAGGTTAATAACAAAAGGAGATGCACCTGGCCTTTCCCCGGAATCCTCTGCGTTTTTAAGCGTCGGGTGGAATTGGGGGTCCTTTGGCTGTGAACCGCGCGTGCTTCATGAAGATAGAAATCGGTCCTGCTCCTTTCAGCGGTAAGTCTTAGGGCCAAAGAGTCAACCGCGTAATCCTGAGGCCGGGTCTCACGCGGACTATGGTTTAAGAGGTAGAACTTTCTGAGTGATTTAAGATAGCCAGAACAGTCTGAGTGCTGCCAGCTGTAGGTTAAAATTCATTTACAAATGAGGACGAAATGCTCTTCAGGCCTCACTGGAACACAAATAAAGGGGGTGAAGCCGGGGACCCGCCGAGTTCGCGTCTCTGAAGAGAGACGGTGCGGGTGCAGTTTAAAGCGCCCTGTGTGCTCCCTAGAGAAATCTAATCAACCGTGTGTTCAGGCGCACCCTGTTTATCTTGATTGGTCCACCTGGATCCGAACTAAATCCTGCCTAACCTGTATATTAGAGTGAGGAAGAGCACGTTCTGGAGACCGTTCCAGGAGTCCTGGGAGCCTGTTAGAAATGCTGAGTCTCGACCCCGGCCCAGTTCTATTGTTTTAGGATCTGAATTTTAACAAGATCCTCGGGTGGTCCATGTGCGCACTTACGTCATAGTCCAGTTGCGGGTGTGTGTGGGGGTGTGTGGCGCGCGCGCAAGATCCTTGGTTGTCCCCCCCCGTTTGGTACGTTCAGTTCTGTCGGTCTCCAGTTGCAGCACCCGAGAGCAGTATTTTGTTAGCCGCCGCCGCCGCCAGCAGCGATTGCAGGGTGCTGCCGGGGAGGAGGGTGGGTGACCAGTGTTCCCCCGCAGCGCTTTAACTGTGTGTGCGCCGTGGTTCAGTCTCGTGAGAATCGGCTTCCTTGCTTCTGGCCGCCCCCGAGTGTGCGTGCCCGAGGAGGCGCCTCAGCCGTTGGTGTGCGGACCACACTGGAATGAGCCAGGAGCAGGGATAAACCTAGGCAGAAGGGGTTCGGCCCGTTAGGATGACTGGGTTCTACCCTTTAGATTTCACTCTTTTCTGGGGGCAGAGGAGAGGGACGGTTGATGAAGCCTCTTAAAAACCCTCTTCTAGAGAATTTGAAACTGTTACTTAAATTGTAATACTTTACATTTATATAGGTCTTACCCCAAAAATAGTATCTCGTGTAATAATTACAGGACGTTATAAGGCAAGGCAGATATTACCTCTAAGACAACAGGCTCAGAAATTAACTTGACTTTCTCAGTTCTACGTTTCTAAAACTAAAGATGTGCTTTAATTCTCTAATTCGCTGGATATAACTATTTTGGGGACAGCTTTGTCCTGTGGCTGTGGTTGATGGTACTGATGTTTTTCCTATTGAAAAGCATATTTAAACATTTCCTCCCCTCACTCTTCCTCAGTTAAAAGATTAATGTTAGATCGAGTACATTAGGTCTCAAGAAGTGAAGCTATCACATAAAACCGGGAAAGAAAGTCTTGAGTATCTCCAGCCAGTCCTCCAGGGATGCTTGTAAATTGTAAATACTGTTGGAACAGTCTCTAGCAAACCAGCTTTCTCTGGAGCCCATCCCTGTGAAAATCTGGCCACGCCTCTGGCCTCCCGTGCGAGTCGGCGCCGCAGCTCCTCGCCCCTCGCCCGCCCGCGGCTTCCCGGAACCGCGCTGACATTGTCCCCGCTCCATCCAGATAGTGCCCCTCCCGCCCTCGATATTTAAATTGCTTTAGCGCGCTCAGGTATTCGTGTATAGAACTCGCGTTTTGAGTACATCTCTCAGGGCAAGTGGGAGGGTTCCAGGCTGGTACTCTCGGCGTTACCCTAGGAAAGAGGTAAAGCGTTTCAAAGCTGTGGGGGCTGGCGGGCGTGCACTTTCTTGAAGGCAGCCCCGCGGTTTTGTAAACGGCCTTCCACAGCCCGGGCTTTGGCTTTTCCGGAGGAAGGGAGCCCGGAGCCCAGCCCAGCGCAGCCGGGGAACCGCTGGCTCTGCTCACTCTGGGAGTGCTGGGGCACTGCGGCAAGACAGCCTTATCGCTCTTTTTTAGGACAGTTCGTTACCTGCCTGGAGTGTCTTCGACTGTGGGCATCCCCCGCTGTTCTTTAAGGTGAGCTATTTTAAGAAAAGTAATTTCTCAGTTTATAATTGATTTATTTTATTGACACAAAACTTTCTTGAGTGTGAAGTAAATTTCTTTTTTCACTAGCTGTAAATCTAATGTTGAGCAGAACTCCAGCTTTCTTAACTTTCTCAAGTGTTAGTTAATGTTCTAAGTACTGTTAATGTTCTAAGTACTGTAAGTCCAAATGTAGAGGATTCTGAGGGCAAAGATGAGGATATTGCTTTACGTACATTAGAAATATAGATACGTGTTTTGGAAGAGTGCTCTCCTCACATTGCCTTCAGAGGAGAAGTCACTTTATTTTTGAAACATTATTTTCTGAAACAAAAAACATTAATAATTGTTTTATATTGGGCGTTTTAAGTAGTCCTTACATGAAATGTCTGTGTTCTTTTATGTTTCCTGCTTGTCTTTTTTTATTTTTTCCCCCTGTTTGTCTTTTTTAACCTAACCAGGCTGCCATATTCTAGAGGGTGGTGTTCACCCCACCTGGCCATCAGTTAATCTTTTGTTAATCTTGGGCCTGCCATGCTGGGGGTGGGACCACAGTGACCTACGGAACAGATCAGTCTGTCCTTGCTAGGCTCTCTTGCATTTTTGAAGGGTTTTAAGCAAATCATGAATTTGTTTCTCTAGAATGCTGTGGGATCATAGAACTGTAAGACTTAATTTGTGGAAGGGGAAGATTTTATGGGAAAGGTGGTATATTTGAGTTGAGACCTTAAGGATTAGTGGGATTTAGCTAGACAGAAGGTTGGGTGGAGTATATTTGGAGAGATAATTACCACATGTGTCACACCCAAAGCAGCAGAGAGCCTGGCACACTCCAGGCACAGAGAAATATAGGAATAAGAGGATGTATATTTTTTTAATGCAAGTGATGTGAGCGTGTGTTGCAGGTCAGAGCTGCAAGGCCTGAGCGCCCCCTTAGCCCTATGGTTTGTGTTCCAGGCAGTGGGAAGCCACTGAGGTCTTAGAACAGGAGAGTGACATAAAGTCACTTTAAAAGAGCTACAGATAAGGTTGCAGTAATTAGGTTGATCCTTAAAAAAGTTTTAAGGATCAGATGTGAATGTGTCCTGGATAGGGCTATTGGTACTGGGATTAGAAAGAAAGAGGAAGTAGAAAGGGATATGAGGGAAGTGCGCAAAGAAGGTGATGATTTGATAATTCAAATCATAATGCCAAGCAGTGTGCTAGGGACTGAGAAGAGATGTGAGAAACCTTTATTGCTTGTTGGAGTCAGGAGTTACTGAATAGAATTTAGGTATGGGTTAGGAATAGAATTAGGGTGGAGAATGGGATGACCCCCAAAGAAACGATGAGCTCATTGGGTTTAAGGGCTTGGGAGTTGTTCAAGGATTACTTTAGTTTCATTCTAGAGCTTCTGGATGACAGGTAAGGCTGACCAGGGTGCTGCTATAGAAGAGTTACAGAAAAAAGGCTGTGTTCATTTGTGGTACATAGGTGGTACTATGGAGTAGAGTTTGTGTATACCAGTCTTGGCCTCAGGGAGCCTGAAGCTGGGAACTTGGGTTCCGGAGCCCAGAATTGGCCCTGGACATATAAGGATCAGGTGAGGCTGCCTACCAAGCAGGGGTGGGGGGGGCATAAAAGAAAGAAGGGCCAGTGATTGCATACAGTTGAGCCTTGAGGAAGGGCTCAGAGGCAGAGTGCCTAAGGAATTAACAGGAAAACCAAGAGCCATGGGGAGAAAGGATTTCCAGAGAGAATGGTTAAATCCTGCTGTGGGAACTGAAAAGATGGAGGTAAAAAAAATGTTCCTTTCTTGCCGAGGAGGTCCTTGGCAGAGTGAGATCATACCCTTCTTTTTATGGCGGGGGTGGGTAGAGGCCTTTTGAGGATGAGATTTTACTGAAAGGGAAAGCAAATCAACAAGTAGCTGGAGACAAACTTGGTATCAGGGAAGGTGTATATTACAGGGTTGGTTAGAAATGAGATAATCTTAATTGATAAGGAAAATAGTGTTCTGTGAAGCGTTTGTGAAGATGGGGATTTCTTGGGGCAGGTGGAGTTGACGAAGCAGAGCCACAGATAACAAGCTCAGCTATGAGAAGGAGCAACTCCTTGTTTATAAATTTCTAAATCTTGTTCTAATTTGCTTCACTGTGTCTCTATTAGCATTTTGCTTTTCTTTTTCTTAACCATTCATGCTTTCTAATTTGTTTAAATTGTGGGGTTTTTAGAAATCTGCCTGTTTTGCTCTAATAGTGTAAATACCTTATTCCATCTGGGATAGTTTTGGGATTCATCTGAGGTAGGATTCTGCTTTATATTTTTCTACATAATGACCGTGTCCAGATTTCTTGAAAAGGTGGCTCTTACCTTAACAGCTACATCTGTTACACTTGATGTGAAATGACAATTTCATGAAACAATTTCCTTGTACGAGCACCCATTTTGAGCATTGATCACTAAGAATGTAGTTGGGTCCTATCTGTATTTTTATTGTCTCTCTGTTATGTGTATATTGCTTCCTGATGACTCAACTCCTACCCTTCACAATACCGCCCTTTACATGGATTTGAACTTTACTCTTTTTCAGTTCTGACTCTTGGGTGTCAGATGCCACTTGCACTTCCCTGTCAGGAAGGGCACCTGTCACGCCTCTTGTACATTGAGGAGTTCATTCCTTTTGTAGTCCCTCAGTGAAACACAGCAAAGTATGTGTGTTACATTGATCAACATGATGTGTTCTTTTTAAGATTTTTTCCTTTTTTTTTTTTTTTTTTTTTG